ATACCTTCTTGGCAGCATGGACTGATGTCTGACCAAACAGAGGGGCACCATAGCCTTGCCAAGTTGATGCATCAAATTAACTATCACAGTAGCCAGGTGTGGTGGTACATGCCTGAAGTCCCAACTACTCAAGAGGCTAAGGTGGGAGGATCGCTTGAGCCCAGGAATTTGAGGCTACGGTGAGCTGTGATCATACCATTGTATTCTAGCCTGGGCCAGAGTGAGATCCCATCTCTTACAAAAAAAAAAAAGGTATAAATATATAATAGAAAAAATTGGGCATAAGTTTTGTCTTTTATATTTGCTCCTTTGAATGCATGTATGGAAACATTCCAGTTCCCTCCCACCTCCTCATCTGGGTTCAAGACTCATGTTGTCATTATTTCATCAGCTGGTAGGACTGTCTTCCAAACCAGGGTAAATGGCACAGAGTCTTCATTGTGGATATGTTGAATGTGTGAATGCTACGGCCTGCCAAATACCCTGATATATGCCGGTGTTATACAGACTTCTGCCAGCTCTTTGGTAAACAGCCATTTTTGTGGAGGGACGTGATGAGGTGTATGATTTCACCAATTATTACCAGTCTTAATTAGATGGGGCCCAGGTGTGTGTTAATAAAACACTAGCTCACACTCTCTGTAATGTTAACGGCCCCACCTTGACTTGATTCCAGGGATTTCATGCATTTGATATTGTTCAATTGACTGTATTGCTGTTCTATTCTGAAACGTCTCCAAACATCCAGAAACCTGCCTTTTGTTAGAAAACATTCCAGTTGTTCAAGAACGTTACTCATCGTCAGCAGTGGCTCTTACCTTATCTTTTTTATCTCTGGTAGGCTGATTACTGTGAGTGCAAACCTTTTCACTGTTCCAGAGAGGAGCCTGACAACCACGTTCTCTTTCTTAAGGTAAGAATGGCAGCTGTTACAGCAGCCCTCGGCTTTTCATTTGGGAGCTCTGGTTAGGTTGTTGGGAATGGACTCCTGAAAGTCCTGGGATCATGTCTTTTTCCCATCTCCTCGGCAGTTCGCCCGGTTTCCCATCCTAAGCCCTCACTGCTCACTGTGATCCTGCGGTTTGGAAGCCTGGCTTGAGCTTAAGTTACAATTCTGGTGAACCAAAAAGGGGAGTCCCCATGCTCAGCGAATGGTTAGTAGATCAAAGACTTCTCCGCCTACCACAGAAGCTAATTTGGTCAATTGAAAGAGAACTTCCTCAGAGTAGTCTTCTCAGTGGTGGATAGGGGGTGTGTCGGGGATGTGGAGCAGTGTTCAAAAGTGTCTGCATTAAATGAAATGCATTGCTAAATACACTTAGAACACATGTGCACTAATTATTGAGCATTTGTAGTTATAGGACCTTTACATGTTAAGCCTTAGAAAATATTTACTGATCTAAAACAGGACAAGAGTGTTACCCCAACAAAGAAGAGAGACAGGATGGATGGACGTGGGCACATTGAAAGTTATGTGTTTAATTGATGATTGCTTTTTACTTGATGCATTTTGCCTTTTGGTTTTAGATGTGGTGCTTATTGCATAGGCTGACCAGGTTAGTGTGTCAGGCCTGACTCCATTGTTTTAGGTGAAGACATCAAATCAGAGGTCTGGTTTTTCTGAGGGCAGGTGGCAAATGCCAAGGAATGCCTGTGTGAGGCTTCGGGGACTGGGCCTGGTTGTCTCAGTGGTCTTCTTGGCTATCAAGACTATCAACTACAAGCCAAGAGGCCTTCTGCCTGTCAAACAGGCCTCCCACTTTGCATCTGATGGCTGGAAGAGAGGGAGGAAACATGCAAAGGAAATCATCTAAGATTATGTGCTGATCTGGCCAGGGCCATGTTTATGTTCCTGTTTCTTGCCTAAAGAGCAGATTGAATTGTTAGCCCCCGTGTTTGTTAATTATAATTATATGTTTCAAGTACAAAGCAGCATTCTGTAAAATATCTACTAAGATGCCTTTCTAAATGGATAACATTTTATGACGCTAATAAGGTCCAAGGCAACAAGCAGGAATTTGTATATTATCATCACTCTTTTCCCCAGGGCATATTGGGTGGTATGTGAGCTGTAACTTCAACTTGAGAATCTGCTAGTAAGAAACCCAAAGGACATGAAGATCAGAGGAATGACGGTCTAGTCATAAGACATATGGGAACATTGGGTCATTTTCCAAAGCAAGGAAACGTAATTCATTGTTAGTTACAGTGTTAAACAGTGTCAGGATCATCATCATCATCATCACCACTGTGGTGATAAGATGTAACTCTATTATTAACCATCTCTATCACCACCATCACTACAGGTAACATTTATTCATTCTTACTGTCTACCAGGCAACACCCTAAGCATTTTGTATGCATTGTCACTCAGTCTGCACAGCATTCCTGTAAGGAAGGGTCTATTAATATCCACCTTTTACAGTTGATGAAACTGAGGCTTACCTAAGAGATTAGTAAGTTGCCCAAAGTTAGACAATCAACCCAAAAAGTGGCAGAACTGGGATGTAACCAATTAAACAGCACCGAATGGGGCCAACCAACACGGAGTATTTACAACTGAGCTTTACTCAATGTCCACACTCGCCCCTGGTCACATTCCCTTTTGCCCCAACCACCACCTGCTATTGACACTCTAGCTATCTCTTCTGCATGAAGGTAGCCAACAAATTCAAGAGCATTTTAGTAGTTCAAGATCATTAAAGCATATTTGGCCCATGGAGAACAGCAGAAAGAATTAAGAGTAAAAATCACTCAATTTTAAAAGGTGCCACTTGTAGTCATGAACACTTTAGTGCATTTTGCTGTTGTTTTCCCCTTTGTATTGACTTTCTTCACATAGTCTCTATGTACTTAAGTTTTGAACTTTAAATGTAACACAAGTCGTTTCTTGTGCTTTTGCCTATTTTAATGGCTGCTGAGTACTCTATTAAATGTGTGTGGTTAGAGAGCCTTAAGTCTACACCACAAGAAGTTATATCCTTGACTTCCTCCTACATGATAAGTGTGGCGCTTCTGCTCACCGTATATGATAGCTAATTTCTGTTTTCTGGGCAACTGGGTTGGAATTGTGGGGTGCCTGTATCCCCTCACATTGTAAATACCTTGCATCTTGAGAGGGGTCTCTGTGGGGTGGGGCAGGAGTCCTGCTTGCTTGGAGCCCAGATTCAGCTCCGCGCCAAAGCTAGCTGCATGTTCTTGGGTAAGTTACTTTATTTTATGGCATCTTCATCTGTGAACATCTCATCAGCTCTGTGATTCCACACAGTCAGGAGTTTTCTGAGCTCTCTTGATTCATAACCTGAGTAGTTTCAATAGATGCAGCAATTTTGGTTGGGCTGAGTGGAGTTACTCTGAGATGCTTTAAGCAGGGAATTTTGTTTTTCAAGATGATCAGACCTGTAAGCTCTTGGAAGGAGAGGTGTCTTACTTTTATATAATTCTTACCATTCTCACTTCTGTACCCTCAACAAACTTTTTCCTCCGTGCTGACATACCCACAAAATAGCACAAGGTAAGAAATCAACAAACAGATGAATAAACAAGTAATGCACAGACAAAGGCTACCGGGCTTGTGTAAGAACCTTTAGCACCATGGCTGTCCAGCTTATCAAATAATTGAGTAAGATTGTTTTCATTTCAATGTGGTAGCTTTGTTTATAACAAATGGAGACTTAAGCTTCCAAAGCCTCTCATCACATATTTCAGAGTAATTTCCCTATAAACTTGGGTGTCAGTTCTTCCCTCATGTTACAGGAGAGGGAACATTGATTTATGGAAATTGCTGTTTTTACCCCTGTGCCCTGGAGTGAAGTAACCTTTTGCTTAGGTCACAGTAAAATCAAAGCTTAGAATGTAATCATCCTCTTGTGTTGGGAAGGGAAGACTTTCACTCTAACCTGTGGGGTCGACAACTGGGTCTATGAAATAAACTGACAACAGGCAGATTACCAGGAGAAAAGGTATGCAAATTTATTATATGCATGAGTGCATCATAGGAAAAAAAAAAGTCAATATCCAAAGATACAGTCAGATTTAGGAGCTCATATATTCTCTTTGCAGGAGAGAGGGGAGGAGGGATATAGGCAACTAAGGGAAGAGTAAATGATTTTTTGGGAAGATGAATGGGCCCTCAGAAGAATAGATGGGAGATACGGTAGTTTGTGACAGAGTTTGTCTGGGTGGGTTGTGTGTTCTATTCTCCTGACCCGTGATAAGAGTTAATCTCCCCTGGTTGATGAAACTTCTGTAGAGGGAATTGATGATAACCTAGTTTCTTTTAGAGTGTCTGTCTGTCTTTAGGCAGATAAGGGGAGCTCAGAGAAAGCCTCTCTCTGCATTTGCTGTTTTTCGAATGCCTTCAGCTCAAAATAATCATACTAATACAGCCTGTTTTGGAGTGGCATATCCTGAAGTCCTTCACTTGCTTTGACCAGCAGAATAAAATGAAGGCATTCAGGGCTTCCTGCATTCTTGGAGCCACATATCTGGACCATGGAAATGACACAATTGGTTCTGACTGGCTCCCCTGATTCTCCCTTAGTGATGCTGACCTTGAATTTTCTGACTCATGCCATGAAGGTATCTACTCACACTGTTGTGCAATATCCAAGACCCAGGAATAACACTGCTTCTAAGGAAGCCAAATTCAGGCATTTCTGGCTTTGTATTCTATTGCAGACTAAAAGGAACAAACAAAATCCTGTATTCCCATGATATCCCTCTACAAGGATCTAACTTGGCACTGTACCTTGGTGCTGAAAGCTGCCTCCATCTTCCCAAATTTGATCACTAATTGGTCTTCGCTTTTTCCAAGTGAATGTGCTGCCTCACTGGCCCTAGGTCAGTGAGATAAGAGCTTGGAAGCACCATGTGATGGTTGGTAAACCTGCTGGCAAATAACCAAGTGGCCTGGTTTTATGTGTGTGTGTTTGAAATGCTATTGATAATAAAGCCTTATTTGTATCAGTGAGGGCTCTGCATCAGTTATTTATTGCATAACAAACCATCTCAAACATAGTGGCTTAAAACAACAACTGTTTAATTTGCTCATGATTCTGTGGGTCAGCAATTTGGGCACTTTTACTAACATTTCCATTTGGGCTCAGCTGGGTGGTTCTTCTGTTAGTTTCACCTGGGGTCACTCATACCGCTGCGCTTAGCTGGTACCTGGGAGCTAGGTGATCTAGGGGATCTCAGTTGGGATGACTCATTTCTGCCCATCGTCTCCCCCTCTAATAGGCTAGCTCAGCCTCCTTCACATGACAGACTTTCTGGCAAGAAGACAAGAGCAAAAACTGTAAGTTAAACTCAGAAATTACATAGCCTCTCTTCTGCCACATTCTGTTGGTCAAAGAAAGCTACAGGGCCAGCCCAGATTCAAGGGGAGGGGATTGGAAATAGACTCCACCTCTAACTTGGAGTAGCTGCAAAGAATTCATGGCCATTTTAAATTTATTGCAGGCTCTTAACTTTGTTATAAAAGCAATCTGAAATTACTTTATTTTAAAATTATTTTATTTTGTCTTTTAAAAATCCTGGAATAGGGATGGTCTTGTCAGCCCATCTGAGAGAAGTCTGGAAAGTGGAGGTCTTCAGTAATGTACCTAAGAATATAATAAAGTTAATAACAACACAAGCAGGCACTAATATTGTTTTTACTATATACCCAGCACTATTTGAAGTCCTTTACATATCATAACTCATTTGGTCATTACAAAATCTTATGAATAGGTATGATTTTTATCCCTAACTTATAGGTGAGGAAACTGAGGCACAGAGAGGTTAAGTGACTTCCCTCAAAGTCATACAGCTAAGTGGTAGACCTGGGATTCCACCCCAGGAGGTCAGGCTTCAGGGTCTGCATGTTAACGTAATGCTTCTTGAGTTAATGGAAATTACATCTTCCTGACTCTTAGCAGAGTTCTCTCTTGGACTGTGTGGTTTTTCTAGAGACGGGGATTGGCTATTTAGAGATGGTTGCTAGGCCTTTCTGGGTACACCCAAGTGACCAAAAATGGTTATGTCACATTATAGGAGACCCTAATTAGATGTAATAAAGACACTCATTATCCCATGGAACACAGAGTAATTCTCCTGAGCCCAACGGTATTTCCTGGGGAGAGGGGTGGGGGTAGAGGGTTCTTATTCTTCTCTTTGGTTGACAGGCATTTGAAGAATGAGGATATTTAATAACGTCCTCTATAACCTTTCAGATAGCCTCTTATTTTTTGGCTTCAAGTAATCCGAAAGACTTAGCCCCAAAGAAAAGAATGTTGTGTTTATTTAGCTTTTTGTTTAAGGACTATCCCAAGGAAAGGGTGGGTTGATAGCCTTTTTAATCTATGGTTTGTTGAACTAAATTCAGTCCAGTGTCCAGGTAGAACAGGTGGTTTATCTAAGAAAAATGAAATTTTGCCGACAGTTTTGAGGTCATCCTTGCAGCCATGAATAAAGTGGCTCATAGTACCAATATGAGTTACAATGAGAAGTTACTTAACCTCTCTGTGCCTCAGTTTTCTCATCTATAAATTAGGGACCCTTTCTGTTTGAGGGG